CTTCTTTTTGCAGCCGGCTCACACATAGATGACATGTCACTAGACGTTTAAAAAAACTGACCTGTGTCAAAATCTGACACAGTGACAGTGGCGTCAGAGTCTGAAGCCAAGAAGGCATATGCCTCCTCCAAACTGTACATGCGCTGCATATTTCACCAAAGTAACACCCACTTTGACAGCAGCTAATTATGAGTGATCGTGTGTCGCTCAAACAACATAATTGGCTGTTACTATCTGCCTCGCATGCCTGGCAGATAGTAACAGCGGGATATCAGCGGAAGCGATCTGCGATCGTTTGCGCTGCTCATTTCTAGTTATGACAGTTCAGGACCATCATCCTCAAGGGGATGATTCTTTTGACGGTCCTGAAGGGGTTAAAGGGATACTGTAGGCACCTAGACCACTTCAGCTCATTGAAGTGGTCTGGATGCCAACTCCCATCACCCTTAAAGGACCACTCTAGGCACCCAGACCACTTCAGCATAATGAAGTGGTCTGGGTGCCTGGTCCAGCTAGGGTTAACCCATTTTTTTTTATAAACATAGCAGTTTCTGCAAAACTGCTATGTTTATAAATAGGTTAATCCAGCCTCTAAAGCCTCTAGTGGCTGTCTCATTGACAGCCGCTAGAGGCGTTTGCGTGCTTCTCACTACGAATGCTTTCCTATGAGACTGGCTGAATGCACGCGCAGCTCATGCCACGCATGCACATTCAGCCGAAGAGGAGGTGGGAAGGAGGAGGAGAGCTCCCCGCCCGGCACTCGAGAAAGGTAGGATTTTTAACGCCTTCCTCTCCCCAGAGCCCTGCGGGAGGGGGACCCTGAGGGTGGGGGCACCCTCAGGGCACTATAGTTCCAGGAAAACGAGTATGTTTTCCTGGCACTATAGTGGTCCTTTAAGCCTGAAAGTGTAATTATTCCAGTTTTTATAAACTGCAATAGTAACCTTGATGGGTTAAGTCCTCCTCTCCTCTTCCAGACAGCCACTACAGGGACTTCTGGCTTCTTAGACAACTTTTGGTTGTCTACACAACGCTGGACATCCTCACATATGCACGAGGACCTCCAGCGTCGCCGAAATCCCCATAGAAAAACCTTGAATAATGCTTTCCTATGGGGAGGTCTAATGCGCACTAGGTCTCCCCACCAGCGGACGTCAGCGCTAGATTAAGGTAAGTGTCTGAAGGGGTTTAAACCTTAACACTGGGTTTGTTTTCCTGGCACTGGAGAATCCAACCGTGGTTTGTACGCCAGTGCATGCAGATACACATACACTTAAAGGACCACTACAGACACCCAGATCACATAAGCTCAATGAAGTGGTTCGGGTGCCAGGTCCCTCTAGTTTTAACCCTGCAGCTGAAAACTTAGCAGTTTCAGAGAAACTGCTATGTTTCACTGAGGGTTAATCCAGCCTCTAGTGGCTGTCTCATAGACAGCCGCTAGAGGAGCTTCCGCGATTTTCACTGTGAAAATCACAGTGAGAAGACGCTGAACGTCCATAGGAAAGCATTGAATAATGCTTTCCTATGGGCGGTTTGAATGCGCGCGTGGCTCTTGCCACGCATGCGCATTCGAAGCTGAGAGGGGGATCGGGGCGGAGAGATCCCTAGCGCCAAGGGAGTCCGGCACTAGAGAAAGGTAAGTGCTTAAGACACACACTCACTAACAGACACACACACACACACTCTCTCTCTAACACACACACACACTTTTTTTTTTAAATTTAATCCCCCCAGCCTCCTTACCTTTGGGAGTGCTGAGGGGATTCCCTGGGGTCTAGTGGTATCACCCGGTGGCCAGGTTGGCGGGCACGCGAGGGAGCACTCTCCCAAGTGCTTCCTCTTCAGCTCCCTTGCGTGCTGCATACTGATGCCGGAGCCGGAAGATGACGTCAGTGCTCCCTCGCGCGCCGGCAATACCAGGGCCTGCCTTGGGGGGCCCTGAGGTGGCCAGCTCCTGGGCCCCCCAGGAGAAGAGGCTGGCCACACTGGCATACATACCGGGTCTTTATCTAGAGATTTTACCTTGAAGCTGAAAACAGCAATGTGAGTTGGTAGCATAGAACTCACCTAAGAGGTATAGCCTTAACATGGCAGGTGAACTTACACTTTAATGGCCAATGAAGTGATACAAAAAAAAACACTGGTTTATAAAGGTGCGCAAGCAACTTTTCTCTTTGATTTTTATATATGGAGGGCCCTGCAGGATCCTCCACAAACCTTAATGTGGGGGATTAAAGCGCCAGAAGGAACCGCCAGAATAAGATGTCGGTGCCCGCAAGGTTCAGTTAAGTAGAACTAAACTTTCCCTGCTCTCCTGGAACCCAGTGGCGATGTCACAGTTAGGAATCTTTACAAATTTTGCAAAGTCCCAAGATGGTGACAGTGCCGCTTTAAGTTCAGTTTCCTAACCTCTGGAAGTTTACTGCTTACGTTTGTGATATTTCAGGTTTTTCACTGATTAGATTTCATACAAACTGTAAAAATGTAGGTATTTTAAAACCTTTGACCAGTATTGTGTAATGAAAAAATGTCACACATTTCTATGAGATATCACAAAAACAAAAAACAAAAACAAAACCATTATCTGGAACTCTTAAAGGAACACTAAATTCTACTTTAGTACTGTATGTTTACCCGGGTCCCCGGGAGAAGCTGGATGTCTTGAAAGAGCTGAACACAACTGACACTTATTGTGGCACTTGGGCCCTCCTGACACCATAAACACTAAAGCAAGCTGCAATGGTAATAATGTTTTGAGTGTTCCTTTAAACTTAAGGTACTATGAAAATTTCAGTCTTACACTATTGGCCAGGACTTAAAAGTTACTTACCACTGAAAGCCTAAAGGGTCCATGACTAACTCACCAGGGGTGAATTCCTAGGCTAGTAGCGAGTAGAAATTTGGAGCCATGCTATGATGGATTGCTGTGGCAATTTGTCCTACCTGCTGCACAAGGATGTCCCCAATTTTCTGAATGATGTAATTGCGATCGCTCCCCTCCTCTAAGGACTCTTTACGCCTCTCTTTGAACCGAGCCAAAAATTGCCCATGCAATTCCAATAGTTCATCCACACAAGGAAAGATCTGGTGGATTTCTTTGTTACCATATTGCAGGTCCTCCCTCAGTGCACGAGAGTATACTTTCAGCATTATCTTTAGCGTCCTCACATGGTGCATCTCTGTTTGCATTAGCTCTGAGAATTAAAGACAACATAATGCATAAAGGTTTGTCAAATGGCACACTAATCTGAGGAGAGATTAAAGTGCAAGGTTACATAAATTATATATATAGATTACATATATCAATAAGAGTAGACAAAGTGATTAAACCAAAATATAATGAATATCCATTATTGTAGAAACATGATTTTACATAGAGCAACTTGTAAATAGCAACTGATCTAAGTGATCATTAACCCTTACATAAATAACAATTTAGGACTGACACAAAGAAACATTTGTGAACAAGTATGGTAATTCAACACTAGTGCTTCTAGAGTAACACAATACATAGGCGTGCGCACGGGGTGTGCCGGGTATGCCTGGGCACACCCTAATCCCCGTGCGCACGCCTATGGTTTGAGTCCTGCAGGAACAGCGTTCCTGCACTTTTTTTTGAGCAGGAACGCTGTTCCTGCAGGCACTCATCGCCCCACTCACCTCTTGCCCCTGTCATGGGGGGCAAGAGGTGATGGATCATCCCCCCCCCCCACCCAGCTGAGCCGCGGCGAGGGAGCTCTCTGCTCCCTCTCGCCGCGCGCTGATGCTGGGAGCCGGAATATGATGTCATATTCCGGCTCCCAGCTACAGCAGACAGCCCGCGCGGCGAGAGGGAGCAGAGAGCAGACAGCACACAGCTCCCTCGCCGCGGCTCAGCTGCAGAGAGGCGCCCGCCCCACTGGACCCCAGGGAAAAGTCCACGCCAGCACTCCAGGTAGGAGGCTGGGTGGACATTGTTTTTTATTAAAATATAATAATTTGTTCTTGTGTGTGTGTGTGTGTGTCTGTGAGTGTGTGTGTGTGTGTGTCTGTGTGTGAGTGTGCGTCTGTGTGTGAGTATGTCTGTGTGTGTATGTCTTTGTGTGAGTGTGTATGTCTGTGTGTGTGTGTGTCTGTGAATGTGTGTCTGTGTGTGTGTGTGTGTCTGTGAGTGTGTGTGTACGCATATATATAAATACACACACACACAGAGCAGGCGCTATCTGAGTGCCGGCTCTGCTCTAAGCCTCCATGGGCCGGCGGGGAGACCAAAGATCTACCTCACCGGCCCACAGCAGCATGGAGGGAGGCAGGAGAGGACCCAGGGAGCTCTAGACAGAAGCTCCGCCAGGTTCCTCTTGCGATATCTGAGCGTTGCTGCGGCAACGCTCAGATCTCGCGAGAGTTAACTCTAGCCCCGCAGGCTAGAGTTCACTCTCCACTGGACCACCAGGGATGGCACATGGCAGCAAGGATTTACTAATCTGCCAAATCCCTCCAAACATACAGCACACACACATACAGCACCTACACACATACAGCTCACACACACACAGTACACTAACCGCACCCTCACAAACACACACACAGCACCTTTAAAAAAAACACAACACCCTCACACACAGCACCCTCGCAAACACACACACAAACAGCACCCTCACAAATACACGACACTCACACAAACAGCACCCTCACAGGACAAACATACACACACAAACACACTCACACACAAACAGCACAGTCACACACACACACAAATACCCTCACATCACACTAACAGCACCCTCACACACACATCACACTAACAGCACACACAGCAGTGTATGTGTTTGTGTGTGTGTATGTATCTATCTATCTATCTATATATATATATATAGATAGATAGATACATACACACACACAGGACAAACATACACACACAAACACCCTCACACACAAACAGCACAGTCACACACACACACACAAATACCCTCACATCACACTAACAGCACCCTCACACACACATCACACACAGCAGTGTATGTGTTTGTGTGTGTGTGTATGTATCTATATATATATATATATATACATATATATATATATATATATATATATATATATATATATATATAGATACATACACACACACACACACACGGCGGGTGTTTGTGCTTTAGGGTGCACACCCTAATGCAATAGGCTGCGCACGCCTATGACACAATATATTTGGGCCCTGCAACTATTAAAATAATTAACAGGGGCTATTAAATTAAATGGAGGACCTACAGCTCCCCAAGTCCCCACACACCTATTATCCCCCAGACACCACTCATTAGCGTCTTTAGTATTGTCAGCCCAGTTCTTATTAAAGTGAAGGATGGAATATAACCTTTGTTTGGGATTCCCATTAGACTATCTATATGTCTATCCACTATAACCTCTGTACATAAACTGGTGTATATTGACAGCCCAGTCCTTTTTAAAGTGCTGGTAAGTAACTATATTCGGTGTGAGGCTTTACTTGCAGTATAAGGCCTTCTATTTGTGATACCAGAAAGCTTTTGCATGTGGATTGCAGTTTGCAGGACACACCCAGTAACAGAGTAAAGTCTTGCAGTTCTAATTAAATACTTCAGATGAACTGCAGGTGCTGTTTCTAAGTGTGTAGTTGGAGATATTCTGGAGGGTTTTACAGAAGCTTCAACTGTCTAAGAGTTGTGCTAAGGGCTTTCTTTTCTACTGTTACAGGTAAGATTCATCTGTAGGAAAATGTTACTGATTGCACAAGGTTTGAATTCCTGTTGGCAATTATTAGGCATTTGATTAGATTACTTGCTATTGATTGCTGTTTAAATTAGCTATTGTTTGCTAATAAGCAGAGGCCTACCCAGGTGTTATACATTCTTAGTGGGTGGTGATTTTAGGAGTTATATAAGGCTTGTTGCCATTAGCTTGGCTGCTACTTCTAAGTGTGTAGTTGGAGATATTCTGGAGAGTGCTGTTTCTAAGTGTGTAGTTGGAGATATTCTGGAGAGTGCTGTTTCTAAGTGTGTAGTTGGAGATATTCTGGAGATAAACTGGAAGTAATCTGAAGTATTCAGGAGGATAAATACAAAGTTAAGATTTGTTTGATTTAAATTATTCTCCTCATTGGAATGGCAGGCTTAGTTCAGTGTAATAGTTGCTATGCGTTTGTTTCACGTTCCACTTTTTGGAGGTTTGGTTGTTGTCTAATCTGTAGACAGTTCTCTATCTTGCGGCAGGAGATTGTATTTTTGAAGTCTGAGATTTGTAAATTATCTTGTGAACAAACTCAGACTGGAACTGCTGAAAAGCCACTGCCGCAGAGACATACTAGGAATGGCAGATGGATTACTGTAGGATCTGGTAGACTTAGAGTTGTGGATAAAAGGCATTTTGCACAGTCTGATGCTCTTCATAATTCATTTTCTGCACTTTTAGAGTGTAATGGTGTTGTGGAGAGAGGCACTGAGGCTAGTGGTGGTGTTGTTGGGGGATTCCATCATAAGAGGTGTGGAGATGGACAATGGTGGTCTTGTGAGGTGTCTTCCCGGAGCTACTGCTCACAGAGACAGGAGACGTATCTGTAATATTGTTAAGCAAGCAAAGCAGGAAGGGGAATTGGATGTACTGGTCCATCTAGGGACAAATGACTTGGCTTGCAATGAGGTTTCAGAGGTTAAGGAAGTTTTTAGTGTTTTTGCCAATGATATACGGCAGGTTGCTTCCACACTGTCATTCTCTGAAGTTCTGCCTGTGCATAACACTCAGAACGACAGGCGGATGCGTATTAGGGACTTTAATTTGTGGCTTGGTGAATGGTGTCGGGAGCAAGGATTTGGCTTTATTTCTCATGGTAGCTCTGTTTGGAATGGAAATAAGCTGTACAAAAAAGATGGTTTGCATCTTTCTCAAAAGGGAACAAATGTTCTAAGTGAGCAGTTCAGAGGTTTTGCTAGGATGTATTTAAACTAGGAGGGGCAAAAGGGTGATAAAACATCAATCCAATTGTCCCACAAAACAAGGACAGAAGGTGCCTGTAGCAAGTGTGTTAAAAAATGATAAGCTTAGAGTCATGTCTACAAATGCTCGCAGTTTAGGGAATAAGATCCATGAACTTGTGGCAATAATGGCAACTGATAGTGTAGATTTAGTCGCTGTTACTGAGACATGGTATAATTAGAAAAATGACTGGGACATAGCAATACCAGGGTACTCTTTATATAGGAAAGATAGGGAAGGCAAGAAAGGGGGAGGGGTGGCCTTGTATGTGAAGGATAGCATAAAATCTAGCCTAATAAAAGTTAGTGAGGCAAACATAGAGTCCGTTTGGGTTATGTTAGAATTTGGTAATCACACAGTAACTCGTGTAGGTGTGATTTATAGGCCCCCATGACAAATTGAAGAGTTAGATAATATACTAGTTGAGGAAATAGCTAAAATGACAATGAAGGGGGAAGTTATCATCATGGGTGACTTTAATCTTCCTGATGTAAATTGGAAAACAAAATTAGCTACTTGTGCCAGGAGCACACATATTCTAAACTCCCTACTGGGATTGTCTCTAAAACAAGTTGTTGAGGAGCCAACTCGTAAAGAGGCCATACTAGATTTAGTGTTAACAAATGGAGATTTGGTATCAGATATTATTGTAGGTGAAAGTTTAGGATCCAGTGATCATCAGTCAGTGTGGTTTAATATAAGAACAGTGACTGAGTCACACCACACAAGAACTAAAGTTTTAGACTTTAGAAAAACAGACTTTTCTAAAATTAGAATATGGGTAGAGAAGTCATTATCAGACTGGAGCAATTTAGATGGAGTCCAAGAGAAATGGGATTATTTAAAAGTTGCACTATTGAAGGCAACAGAAAATTGCATTAGGCTTGTAAGTAAAAGCAAAAAATTCAAGAAAAACCACTGTGGTACTCCATAGATGTGGACCAAAATAGTTAAAAACAAAAAGTTAGCATTTAGGAATTATAAAAAAAACTCAGAGTGAGGAAGACAAAATGATCTATAAGATTAGGCAGAAAGAGGCAAAGCAAGTTATAAGAGCTTCCAAATCACACACAGAAGAGAAAATAGCACAGTCAGTAAAAAAGGGGGCCAAAACTTTTTTAGATACATAAATGAGAAAAGAAAAGTAAAACAAGGATTAGTTAGATTAAAAACAAAAGAAGGAAGGTATGTAGAAGAGGATAAAGGTCTAGCTGACTGCCTCAATGAATATTTATGTTCTTTATTTACAGATGGAAAGGGACCTCATTTGAGAAAAAGGCTAAATGAGTCATTTATTACACGTGAGTTTACAGAGGAAGAGGTTCTATTTCAGCTGTCAAAAGTAAAGACAAATAAGTCAATGGGACCTGATGGAATACACACAAAGCTATTAAAAGAGTCTAATGTTGTACTTGCAAAACCATTAACAGATTTATTTAACCAATCATTGCTAACAGGAGTAGTCCCAGAAGATTGGAAGTTAGCGAATGTTGTGCCCATTTACAAGAAAGGTAATAGGGAGGAGTCGGGCAACTATAGGCCAGTAAGCCTTACTTCAGTAGTGGGGAAAGTAATGGGAACCATGTTAAAGGATAGGATTGATGAACATCTAAAAACATGGATTTCAAGATCAGAGACAACATTGGTTTACTTCGGGGAGATCATGTCAAACTAATCCTATTGATTTTTTTGATTGGGTAACTAAAATTATAGATCAGGGTGGTGCAGTAGACATTGCTTACCTAGATTTCAGTAAGGCTTTTGACACTGTTGCACATAGAAGGCTTATCAATAAACTACAATCTTTAAGTTTGGATTCCAATATTGTTGAATGGGTAATGGGTAGTGGCTGAGTGACAGGCAACAGAGGGTTAATGGAATATATTCGAAGCTTGGACTTGTCACCAGTGGGGTACCTCAGGGATCTGTACTTGGACCCATTCTCTTTAATATTTTTATTAGTGATATTGCAGAAGGTCTTGATGGTAAGGTATGTCTTTTTTGCTGATGATACTAAGATATGTAACAGGGTTGATGTTCCAGGAGGGATAAGCCAAATGACAAATGATTTAGGTAAACTAGAAAAAATGGTCAGAATTGTGGCAACTGACATTTAATGTGGATAAGTGCAAGATAATGCATCTTGGACGTAAAAACCCAAGGGCAGAGTACAGAATATTTGATAGAGTTCTAACCTCAACATATGAGGAAAGGGATTTAGGGGTGATTATTTCTGATGACTTAAAGGTAGGCAGACAAAGTAATAGAGCAGCAGGAAATGCTAGCAGAATGCTTGGTTGTATAGGGAGAGGTATTAGCATTAGAAAGAAGGAAGTGCTCATGCCATTGTACAGAACATTGGTGAGACCTCACTTGGAGTATTGTACACAGTACTGGAGACCGTATCTTCAGTAGGATATTGATACCTTAGAGAGGGTTCAGAGAAGGGCGACTAAACTGGTTCATGGATGGCGGGATAAAACTTACCAGGAAAGGTTAAAGGATCTTAACATGCATAGCTTGGAGGAAAGATGAGACATGGGGGATATGATAGAAACATTTAAATATATAAAGGGAATCAACACAGTAAAGGAGGAGACTATATTTAAAAGAAGAAAAACTACCACAACAAGAGGACATAGTCTTAAATTAGAGGGACAAAGGTTTAAAAATAATATCAGGAAGTATTACTTTACTGAGAGGGTAGTGGATGCATGGAATAGCCTTCCAGCTGAAGTGGTAGAGGTTAACACAGTAAAGGAGTTTAAGCATGTGTGGGATAGGCATAAGGCTATCCTAACTATAGGCTAGGGACTAATGAAAGTATTTAGAAAATTGAGCAGACTAGATGGGCCGAATGGTTCTTACCTACCGTCACATTCTATGTTTCTATGTTACTAGGCCTTGTGAACTGTCCTGACACTGAAAACAGGAGTCTTAAGGTTAATATGGTGGTTTGCATTCCTGTTATCATGACTTTAAAAAACTTACTTTTATTCTTTCTTGTACATAGCTACCAACATTTACTTGACGTAAGGCACCATCAGAGAGTTTAATTGTCTTGTATAGTGTCCTCAAGTATTTTGAAAATGCATTGTGTGTATATATTACATAGTTACATAGCTGAAAAGAGACTTG